CCGTTACAAAATATATGGGGGAATGGTTTCTAAGTACGTTGAAGGTAGTAATCTAGCGAGTGCATGGTAGATCGCTCTGCCATGTCAGTGCAATACCCGAGACCTATATATCTCGAAGAAAAGTAGTTCTTGGTGTTGGCTGCCAGGATGTATGGAGAATCCGTATGCAGGTGCGGTTGTTTTTGCAACCGCCCAAAGAATGGCAAAGACTTTGAAAAATAAACTGGGAGCCACGAGGGTCAGGAGGCTCGCCTCACAAAGCCACGTATGCCTGCGGGTGTATGATGGACTTTGTTCATAAAGTTCGAAATAAAATAATTTTTTCTCAATAATACAAAAAGGAATTGACGGATGGCCTTCCCTTTGGCCTATGAATAAAAACCCTCTCGAGAATTAATACATGCAAATATTAAAAAAGGGATTTGACGGAAGGCTTTTTTCCCCTTTTGCCTATATACTTTTTGAACATATGTCACGGATGCCTGCGGGTAATGGTGGTAATTGATCAACGGCGCCGTGGAAGCCTTATGACGGAAGCGAGCGCAAATTTTTTACCCTTTTGAACGAAGATCGTTGATCAATTTGAGAGTCCTGACTGCTTGGGTGCGACCCTACGGGGAGTACTCGTGGTGGTTGTGGTTGGCAAGTTCCTAGCCAAAGTGGAACAGTCGAGTGCAGCTAGGCCTTACCACTGACCAGAGTGGGGTTTATTGTTCCATACACAATAAACCGTTCTGGACTCTGGTGTTGTTTAGTCCCCTACTCTGTGGGGATTATCTAACTCGCCAGGGGGCGTAGTACGCTTAAAGTGGCTTGGCCCACCGTGGGGTTAAGCCTTTCGGGTTGGCCCCCCGTTAGATCCTTGCTACAAATTCTGTATATTGAAATGTACATTTGAATATATATTTACTACGAAATGCCGCACAACGCCATAGGTAATTTTACAAATTAACTATCAGATTATTCAGATTATTTTTATATGGATTTCTGATAATATATCGGTCGAATATTTACGTATTTGTAATAAGTATAAAAATTCTGTTCTGTAGTGTTATGCGAGCAAATTTCTAAAGTGTTTGGAGATTTTTTTTCACGCATTATATTTCGAATTTACGTTTTTTTTCTCATAAACTTATTACCACTTTTTACCACAAGTCTGAACTCGTCAGTTAGGCAATTAGATATAGCAAGCTTGGGTTGATGAGGCGCGTATATATGTTTTAAAGCAGATTTTCAATGTTTTATAAAAACATGATTTACAAAATTTATATAGCCTTCGATGACAAATATAAAAAGACTTTGAGGTAAAAAATTATATATTTAAAATTACATACTTCTCTATATATGAAAATATATACATAAATATATATATATATATATATATATATATATATCTATATATATATTCAGTGTAACCAAATGGAACTTATAATCGAAACAAATTAAATTACGACATTTGTCTTTTCTATTCCGTTTTCGGACTTGGTTTGTCAGAAAAAAATAATACTTGAGAAATTAGGTAAATATTGTTAGTGGGTCTTAAGTTTCTTTACGTCTAATTAAGTATTTTTTTCTTTGTTTGTTTTTAACTTGCAATACTATATAAACTTACTTAAAATATGTATGTATATATGAATGGTTGTAAAAATTTTTTTTTTTTTTTAATTTGTTTGTTTATCTTTTTGTTTCTTAATATTTTCTTAATATTACGTTTCGGAAGCAGATTTGCCCATGAAAGGTAACGTGAGATCAACCATATTAGGATAGACCAAGTATTTGTTAACAGCTTCACAGAGCTTGCCTTCAATCACATTGGTAACTATACTCCAATCAACTGATTTATCACCGACAGTCGGTCGAGCGGTTAACCAAAGGCGAGGTGGAGCACGAAATCTGAAATGAAAATAAATTTAAATTACAAAAACACCAAAAAAAAAAAAAAAAAAAAAAAAGGGAAAACAACTTTGAACTTACGCTAACCAAATACGATCCGATGGCGGTGGCGGTATATTAATAGTTACCCGTGATACTAAACCCTTGACGTCTATGCCAAGCGTAATATTGGTGTTCATATTTTCCATAGCCTTTTGTACGTAAGAAATTTCGGTGGCGTATTGAAATATATTCGAAGTAGCTATGCGGTCGACAAATTTAAATATGCGTCGGGTATTGCCCGAGTTGGAACTAAAAATTAAATAAAAAAGAGATCACATAATTAATTTGAACTAAGGCGCCTTCTGTCCTTCTATCTAACACTACGGTTAGTTTGAAATCTTTCGATTTGCAATGGATGCGCTTTTTTTATTATTGTATTTTGGATCATCATTTAATGTCTACTTCGAAATCGTACTTTTCGAATTCTCACTTCGTTCATTCCGCACTAAAACATTTTTTTTACTTATTATCCAATATATTACAAGAGATTGCAATATTTGCATGAAGAGATTACAAAGTTTGATGTTTGCGACAATAATTCCAACGAATGAACGGAGAGAAGCAAATTACGCAAAGGCAAAGTTAATTTACAAATAAAGGCATTGTCTACCTTTCAATGTTGCTGGGATTTTCACCCAACACTCCAGTCATAGGACTTTCCGATTCAGTACTTGAACTGCCACTACTTTCAGCATCACTATCGTATATCGCGCTAGCTGACTGGGTTTCTAATATTATTTCGCTTTCCAGGCCATGACGTGAACCTATAGCACTTGCATCATCTCTTGACGCCATATACGGATTATTTGGTTGTCCCGACATACTGGAATTTGCTTCGACCGTAACGCTATGGGAACGTGGCGGACGTTTCAAGCGTAATATATTCAATTTTGTGGTTACCGTAACGTGACAGAGACCCTCATACGTAACATCAGCATCTATCCAAATGCCCCGCTCATTGATTAACGGCTGTGAAATACGATGTACAAGCGGTGGTTTATCGCCTAAGTCAATATTTTTGATGATAACATCCTCCATAAAACTTGGAAGCTTAAAAAATTAGAACAATTATAATTATAAGTAAGTAAGTAGAATTATATTCGGCGGCGGCCGAATCTCGCATACCCACCACTATGTTTTTCACATTCTACTCTTTAAGTTCTTTTGCTTGATACCCGTATCGCTGGCCGCAGTGTCTGCCATATTCATTCTAAACTGAACCCGCTTTTAGGCAGATAATATGTATATATATTTAAGGAGTGCACAAAATAGTTTTAAACATTCGGTCGGTGTTTGCCTTATAATAGAAAAGCATAAAATTTCAGAAAAGTGAAAAAAAAAACAAAATTTTCAAGTGACTGTAACTTTGTATAGGCATGGCCAATTGGTTACATGTTTGCACGCAAAGAATAGACTGACTCGTAAACTAAACGTGAAAAATTTCATCCTTCCCGCTGTTATAATTTTTGAGAAATATGAAAAAAACCCGCAAAAATTTTATTAAGAAATGACGGAGTTGCGTTCAGCTTATGCTCCACTGTGCGCTTTTGCTCAATACCAACCCGCGTACAGGAACTTCCAATGTTTCTACCAAATTTAAAGTCGATATCTTCATTTTTGCGATCAGGAGAGTGCCAACAACATACACCACACAGACATACAGATATCCAGACGGACGGACATAGCTAAATCAACTTAGATTTTCAAGGTGATCGAGAACATATATACTTTATAGGGATTCTGGGGAAAAAAAAACAAAATGAGTATATCGATCTCCTGCAGTGGTGGGTGCAATAAATAATATTTCGGAGAAATGATTAAAAAACAAAATTATTGAAATAATACCTTAAGGGAATTTAATTTCTTTTGGAAAAAGTCTTGAATTTTTTCAAGTAATTGTTCATTTTGCAAAACGCTAAATAGCAAACGTCCAGCCAATACATTCGCCCACACTACACTTCCAGATGGGCCCAAGAACAAAGATTGATCGATGCCTTTCCACAATTCATTTTCATGCCGCATCGAACGCTTATGCTGAAAATAATATTTTATATACATTTTTTTTTTTTTTTTCTTTTTTTCTTATTTGCTTTTTCTTACAATGTCAAAAACTGTATACTTAATGACAGCAGAATGAAACGAAATAAACAAAATATTGTAAATAATAAAAATGACGACATACGTGTTTTTTATTTTGTGGATCTGGAATAATTGTACCTTTATAAACAGGTATGCGAGATTGACTACAAGCTTTCTATAAAATAAATATAAAGCAAAAGAAAACAATTTAAATAAATAATAATAAAAAAAAACTTAATAAAATATCAAACAGAAGACAATAATATGTAAAAATTACTCAAAATAGTAAATAAATAAAATGCAAATGACAACAATATTCCAATCTTTTCGCTGAAATTTATTGCTTCGTGAAACATACATGCACGCACGTTCATCTTTGAGTGCAGGTAACTTGAACATTGGTGCTTGTACGATATAAACTTTTCGTTGCCACGGAAATGATATGGAACTTGATATCGGTTGAAAATGTCATAGTTATGAAACAGATAGAAATAGCTTTACGGTGAAAACGGTGAATGTTCTGCAGCTAATTACTGAGTAGGCAAACGATCTCGACTAATAACTCAACGTTCATGGATTCAAATATCAAATGCGGTAGAGCTTTCAATAAAGCCAACAGTCTTAAATGCTACTGCTTTAAGGCTTTAATCTCAGCGTTTATTTCTCTGGCTACATTAATAATAATAATAATAATAATAATTATAGTTAAGTCTGTTTGTTCGCATACTAAATTTACTTATGCAAAACTGTCTTAGCAAAACTGTCTTAGAGGATATCTAGTTCAAAAGATGCAATTTTGAGAATTGATTGGACTTGATTAGGCTTGATTAGACTTAAGCGATGATATCAACTCGTTTGCTTGGTGCTCAAAAGAGATTGTATATAATTGAAATTCGAAATAGAAAGCACTTATTCCAATATACACGTTATATAATTTTATACCTAAATAATAAGGAACAGACAGATGAAATAAAGATTCTTTATAGCAACTGTGAAATTTTTGATTCGTCAACAGTCTTGCAACTTTTTAAAATATTTTTGATATTATCATGGGCACGCTATGCATACACTAGAGCAGAAAAGAAAAAAGGATGTGGTTGTCTTTTTAATGAAAACATTTTCATTACCGGAGCAAAACTTCTATCATTTCTAGTAAGTATTTAGGTCAAATTTCATAAGGTTGATATCTAGTATACAATCTTCAGGATATTAATAAAATTTTTTCATATTTTGTTTCAATGTTTTAGTACTAATGTTTGCAGTCGATTCGGGAATGCGTTATAAAAGCTATTATTCGGGTTTCTCTCTAAATTTACACAATTTTTCTAAAGCCATCTTCAAACCAACTGAGACCCAACATTAATTGTGTTCTTATTACAGTTGCAGCTTCCATTTTCACTGGACTTTATTTCTGATAGGCCAAAACTATTTTTTTAGCTACTGTCAAAAGCCACAAATGACCCCTCGAACGCTCCTCATTAACTGCGGTGCAAGTTACGCGAAGATAGTGTAAGCAAGTTAGAGAATCCCTTACTTATTACGCTCATAATACTGAGCATGTTAAAAGAATAATTGAGTATAAGTACGGGTAGGGTATTTCCCTACCAAACTCAAGAAATTCCATACAAAAGTATATGAGAGTAAGATTGACCAACCAATCAATTGACAGTATATCGGTTGTGGAGAATTTCTTTTCTGCAAGTAGCTTGGGACGTAAGTTGGCAGATTGCAATTTGCGGTTCCAACACGATAATGTAACAAGCTACGTAGGTGACAAACGACTCGAATTATTGAAAATCGCAAGTGCATTCTCAATGGAAATCCTGACACTTACGCAGCGGGTTCGAAAAGTATCCGATCAGAACACCAAGATAGTAGTACTTGTCCAAAAAAGCGGTTTATATTTGCATTGATAACCAAAAAAAGGTGAAAAAGGGCAATATTATTACACGTCGAATAGTTGTTTTTGAAAAAGCAATGCGTCTGCACAAATTAAATGCGAGCTGACGGGTTGAATTGAAATGTAAGCGTGCCGGCTTGCCGCGTCCTGACGTTCAACCGTATCAGGCAACTGTCAAGTTAGAGACAGATAAAAGAAAGGCGGCCGGACGTTAGATGCCACAGTTAGTCAGATTGGATCACAATCACCGTCTCACAAAATTGCATTAATTTTTTATTTTGCATAAACTCTCTAAAAATATGTAAAATTCAAATAAAATTATTTCCATTCGAGATAGTGAATTTGACCACTTCATGCTAAGTCTACTATATATGTTTTATATGCTGCAAGGAATGAAACCTAGAGACAGAAGAATGGTAAATCTCTAGCAATCAAAGGAATAAGGAAACTATATAATGTAAATGAAAAACTGAAGGTATTACAGAAAAAAAAAAAATAAAAAATAAATAACGACAATTGACAATTCGATTCGAATAATGAGTAAAAAAAAAAGAAAAGAAAAATCCATAGAATACTAGTTTGAGTAGTCGGCATAACTTTTTTTTTGTTGCCTAAAAGCATGAGCTTCGAAAATTTCTTTTGCTGACGTTCGTTTTGGCAACAGCGAAATATCTTACCTGATACATTGACATAAAATGTATGTAATCGGGCTGATTTCGTGCAGCGCATAATGTCATTATTAAGCCTTCAAAACTATCAGTTGAATTTTCGAAGCACAAATCAACCATATCAAAATCAGCTTCAGCTTCAATGTCCTTTTCCGATGGCTTTGTCGAGTAATTGAAATAAAATTAAAAAAAAACACAATAAATAGAAGTGGAACACATGAAATTTCAACAATATTACCTCAACAATATCTTCCGAGTCTTTGAGGGTGATCGATGAGTCCTGATGAGTTGATTTAGTAGAGCTGGCGCTGTCACGATGCTACAAGTAAATCAGTATAAAAACACCTTTTATTTAACAAAAAAAAAAAAAAAAATTTCATTAATAATACTTTTGGATTCGTTAATAAAAGGGCAGCTTTATTCGCAGCAGCTTGTAAATCTTTATCGTCCACAAATTTCACATTAGGCAGATGAAGATCTTTATCATTAATATCACCATTGCTGGCCGCCACGAAACGACGAAACCTTATACGAGATATGAGAAAACTCTTAGATATTTTATCAAAGATATAATTATCATAAATCAATTAATCCAACGCATACCAATCTTCTTTTTCACGAGCGGCACGAGCGAATAATAAAATACGCACTTCATCGCCACACGGTATGGTAACGCTCCTTAAATTCTCATCCGGATTTAAGTCATCTTGCAATTTTTGCAACTAAGTGTTTTTTATGAAATGATCATAATATTACACTTAATGTGAAAAAAAAAAAAAAATACAAATACAAACTACTTACATCGGCATTTAAAATAGTTTCAGCAAAATCGATTTCCCCACCATCGGCTTTAACTTCGATTTCGGTAAATTTCTCAAGTGAGGCTTCTTTCAAATCTGATTTCTCTACTTTCGGTTTCTTTAAACGATATGCCAATGTCGATTTATTGAAGTCGATACTTTCGAGACTTTCGGAATCAAAATTCTGTTTTACTATCAATTGTATAGGATATTTACGATTGAAATGCCTAAATAAAGTGAAAGCAAAAAAAAAAAAAAAATTAATAAACATGCATGACACAATATAGCATGAATAGGTGATATTCTCGACCTTTTTCTAGCCAATCCTAACGGTAAAAGTTCAATGCGACATCCCAATAAATCATAAGAACGATGAGCGGTAAATGTTACAGATTTCAAATCAACTGGTGGCTCATTCCATAGAGCACGTTTCGATAAACGAGCATTTGTATTTGATATATTTAAAATGGAACCTTTATAATAAAACAAATAGTAAATATATTAAAATTCGATGGTCAAAAAAAAAAATAAATAAAAAAAAAAAATAAATAAATAAAAATTCATTTTTACCTTCTAACTTAACATAAACCGATCTAGTCATAGTTATATGATAAGTTTCGGGATCATAGATATCGATTTCGTTCATCCAACCCTGAAAATTATTTGCAATTTTATTATTATCAAAATATTCGAATTAGACAGAACCTAATATTGCCTAAATATGTAATACCCTACTTCGTAGTGCAATATGAATAAAATCGAAGCTTACAAATGAATTGTAATCTAATTCATATTCATTTCAAGTCTCTTATTAAAATATATTCAATTTTATTCGTTGTAGAAAAGTAAATTTTTCGCAACTTTTTTTAAGCGATTTTTCTAGAAATTTTCGAATCGACCACCTAACACAGCTAATGACGTAGGGTATTAAATGTTAAATTGACAAAAAAAAAAAAAACTTTATACCTCGTAACTCTTTACTGTTTTGTATTCTTTGACAGCGGGAATTTCACATATGGGCATTTTACTATAATCGGGTATTTGAAAGTTGGCTTTCTCCTGTTTATTGAAACCTTGAAAGCAATGATCAATTAGATTGGCGAAAAGCTTCATAATGTTGTCGACAACTGAGATGAAGAGCAAGCATGTTAATATGCCGCGTATAAAATCATGTATGGGTAATATCAAGACTAATATTAAGCCCATTAACGATAAGCTAGGCATACTTTTCGTTCTTTGAATTAACTGACTTTTCATGTTGACCATATCAAGTTTTACTTTATCATTTGATTCGCCAAATAAATTATTCTCATCGGTTGTTAAACGAGTCGGAAGCTCCGGCATATTTTCTAAATTTTTTGTAACATTTTCATCGAATGATTCCAGCGAATAGAAACGTGTGTACGATGCATCATCAGTTTTCTTGTTAACTGTTGGAAAAGTGGGATTATTAGCGGATGTTGCTGGCGGTAGCGTGTCCTCCAACATTTCCACACCCGACTCAATTTCCATTTCTTTACGATCGGGCATTAGTTTTCCTCTCGGTTTCTTATCTGGCTTACCGCTTACAACTACCGGGACAGTAGCTGCCATTTCATTTGCCACAGCGGCAGCCAACATTGAGGTGGTACCTGATGATGACGGTGAAACCAATTCTGCTATTTCGATTGCCTTGTTACGGCGCCTTCGTAAAAATGTTCCCCGCAACGACGATGACGATGAGGATGAGCCCGTGCTACGGCTGGGACTTGTGTCCTTTTTCACTGTATGCACTGTTGGATTAGCTAAACCGGTGCACAGGGTCAAATTTTGAGGCTGTATGCTGTGCTTGGGTTTCACTTTCGATTTTAAATTGGCAATACCTCTTTTCAATCTCGACTGCTCCAAATCACATTCCAATAATATTTCCGTTTCGAAATCCGAGTCGGAATCTTCCAATTTGTTTTGGCGTTTTTGTTTTGTGCTGCCGCCGCTACTTCGACGCTCAGACAAATCTTCGCTTACGGAATTGCTTTTTTCCACATCGGAGTCACCCTCAGCAGGAAATGGATATGATTGTTCACCTAATCGCAATTTATTCAATTACATTAATTCATTGTAAATTATGTATTATGCTTACCTTTTACGATCACGGTTGGATAAACAAGTTGTATATTTTCACTACCTTTACCACCACTAATAGCTGCAGAGCCGGTATTAACACTTTTCGAGGACTTGATATCTTCAATAGTTTGTGAAACTTTGCCTTTAATCATTTTCCACGTTCGGCCTGATGAGGCATCACCGCTGGAGAGCGCAGCTATTAAATTTGGGCCAACCGATGTAGGAGAAACACCTTCAACGCTACCAGATCTAAAAAAGCAGAAACAAAAAACAAAAAATCTTTTCGTAAAAGAAAAAAAGTAATACATAATTAAATAATTAATGTTTAAAGGAAAATCTGCTCATATTCATTAGAATAACTTGAGCCACTAGCGCCACTAAGATCAATGAAAACGAAAATTTCCGCTATCAGTAATCAGTGGCGCTTCTCAATCTATTTAAGAATTTTCTTTTGTTTCACTTTTTCGATTTCATGGATCGTCTCATGGGACAGTTCATAAAATAACTAACGGCTAACTCTTTTCGCGCGCTCTGAAAGCATATCAATATCGGCCTAAAGATATATTATATTGCTGTTGCTCACGTTCCTACAATAAGGCCACATCTACCCACTAATGTACACATAATGTAAATAAAGTCAATTAACACAACATATACATACATAAGTGATAATATATTATATTGTATAATTGTAGTTCGCAATGCTTTTGCCAACAATAATGCGTTTGCTTTTGCTTAGTCGCGCTGAAGTCAGTGCGAATTCATGCACTGTACCCAGATCTAATTTCCTCAGATTATATGAGATGACGTGCTCGTATACTACGTCCGAAAGTATTTTGCTCGTATTTTTAGAATACTTAACATAAATTTTGATTGCACCTGTAATTTCGATTAAATGAAAGATAGTCAGGGCGAATGTTTCATTTTGTATCGGAGGCAGAGATTACGTGTGAGGCGTTATTTTAAGAAAACTACAGGCTTTTTTCTTTTTTCCTTTTTTTTTTTTTGTTTTTATTCAGAAAAATTTAATTTGTTTTTATTATTAAGTGAATTTAAGATTTTTTTTTTTTTTTTTCATTATTAATTATAATTAATTTAATATAATTTATTTGTTTTTAAAGGTTTGTTTGTTTGTTTTGTTAATTAATGGCACCAAAAATACTCAAGATCAATTGGATTCAATTAAATCTTTTATCTTAATCCCCACCACCAAGACAACGTAGCAGCTTTAACGATGGCTTTAAGACCCGTACACCGGATAACCTATTTGCTATCTTCTTTCTTTCTTTCTATCTTTCTTTTGTTATTTTTTTTTTTTTTTTTTTTTTTTTGTCTTTTACTGATCTGTCAATCCGAAAATCATCCGCGACTAAATCAAAAAACTATAGCTTATCACATATTTTCTTAACGCATTTGTATAAAGCAAGTTTCAAAAAATTAGGATAACAGCTATAAATAACCTATAAAAAAAGAAATTCAATTTAGTTTTGATGTTCATTGGCAAGCTTCAACGGAAATCAATTTGAAATTTTGAAAGAAAAACTTCAACGGAGAGAACGTAATCGCTTTAATCGGAACTAAGTGACTGCTTTCTTTACTGATGGTCAGAAATTGTTGAATAAAAATAATGGATCCTGCCATCATATTAGTTCGCGAACAAACAAAGAAATTATTGTTAATAATAAATATATTAACATACGTCTATTATTTTATTTTATATCAACATCAACTTTCACATAGCAATATTTTATATGATCAGATTCGGAAGTATTCAATTTGAAGCAAAAATTTTCAAGCAAAGGTTCAATCGTTATAGTTCACGGGAGTATCGCACACGCTTAATGAGACTTTTTTTAAAGCTAAAATTACTTTTTCACAGAACGTATTTTCCGTCAATCGAAATGAACGACGACGAAGAAGAAAAAAAATTCCAATGGGAAAGCTGCAGACTGCTGCTGTAATCAATTTAAGCGTCATAATGTACGGAGAAACGCTTAGTCGCGCTTGAAGCCCTTCAAAACTAACTAACTGGTACGTCTCGAACGCCAATTGATTTTGATTGATGTATAATATATTTTCTTCAACAACGAGACGAACATCACCGTACGATCTCAAGTAATTGTGTTTTAAAAACGTAAAACGTAAAATTCATGATGGGTTATTTACAATTGTAGTGGTACCTTTTACCTGTTTAGACAATAATCTTCGAAGGCGAAAATATCGGATAATACATTCTAAGACACGAAATCGGAGACACTTGAGCCCATAGTGAAAATAGGTGCTATGAAAATTGATTTCAAAGTAAGAAAAAAATATCCGGACGTTAAGCATTGATTACATATCGAGCAACATAACCATAGACAAACACGAAGTGTCAACCTTTATTACACCTGCATACTGTACTATTAAGGCTATATTCATCCACTTTATGCGACATATTAGATTCAGATATTTAGATAGCTGTTCTGTTAAGCCTTAGATGGTGGGCAAACGATTTCAGATTCGCCTCAAAGCGAATAAATATAAAATTTTTAGATTTTATCATTTATTTAGATATTCTTGCGGCGACGAACCATTTTTTGCCCTTTATCGTCTTTTCTTTTTACGCTTGTTGTGGTTTATTCAAAAAATGAGAAGAAACTTAAGAAATATGTAGAAGGACACACACAGAGAGAGAAAGAGAGAGAGAGAGAGAGAGAGAGAGAAAGAAAGAAAGAACAGTAAGTATATTTTTGGGCTACAAATGGTTTGGTGTCTTTTTTTATTTAATTTTTTTTTATGTTTATTTCTGATAATTTTTATATTGTTTACATGTATGTAATAGAATAATATGTTCGTGTGTATTTTTTTTATTTATCTCTTTTCTGTTTTATTTATTCTAGGTTATAATAAGTTTAAAGTTAAAGTTTTTTTTGGGATTTTTTTTTTTTTTTTTTTATATATTATTGTTTTTATTATTTGCTTTTTATTTTCAAATAATTATTGCAAAGAGTTTTAAGAAGAAAGAGAGAGTTTTTATATTTTTCTTTTGATTGGTTTTGAAATTGTTTAGCAAACTGTTGTGATTATAGAATTTTTTTTTTTTTTTTATTTTATATAAAATTTAAAAGACTTATTTTTTGTATTATTAAAGTTTTATAATATTATTAAAATTTAGGTCTCTTTTTAAATTTTTGTCTTTTGCTTTAATTTTTTTCTTTCTTTTTTTTTACTTTTAAGTATCAAACTACATACAAAATATTTTTTTTCTTTGTTTTCAATTAATTTATTTGGTTTTTTTTTTTTTATAAATTGTATGTAAATAGAAAAAAATTAAAACTACAAAAATTTTCATAAATTTTTTTTTAAATTTTTTATTTTGCCGTCAAGTATAAAAAATAACCTAAAATATTAAAAAAGAACTTATTTGGAAAATTCTCTATAATATGTTATCAAAAAAATACGCGTATGAAAAAAATATTATATATATAAACTAATACTTTTTGTTTTTAAATATAAATATTGTATAATAAATTTTTAAGTATAATATGTATGTATATTTATTCAATCTTTCCTTTTTTTCGATTTTTTTTCCTTTTTACTTAATAAGTTGATAATTTCTTTTAATATAAAATATTTTTGTCTATATATATATATATATATTTTTTTTTTTTTTTTTTTTTTTGTTATTATTATCAATTTTTTGTTTTAAATAATATTTTGCTAAAGAGGAATACTTGTCTTTGTTTGGTAAGGGTTTTTTTTTTTCGTTTTCTATATAATTAATTGTATATATATATATATATATATATACGTTATATATACATTTATGTATATATTTAAAATTAACTGCTATACTTCTGTTTTTTATATTTTTTAATAGCGTTTGAATTGAAAAAAGGAATTAAAATAAAAAGAAACTATTGATTGGAAGGATAAGTTTGTTTTGAGAAAAATTTCAAGGATAGATCACTCATTGCGTAACTGTTACTCTATGCAAATATTTACACAGCGGTAAAGGATTCCAAATGTTATATATATATATATATATGTATATACACAAATGTAAATATATATATATAAATGTATACATATGGAGAATTTTTCGTTTTCCGCGACTGCATGAGTTCAATTTTTAAGACTCATTTTGCTTATGTATTAACCCACTTTAAAATATTGGCGGCTTATGTTGATTGTTTAATTTGTTGTTTGTTGGCCTGTCTGATTTCTATGAATGATACATGCCCTACTAAATATATAACAATTGCAATCGCACACATTACATTAAATTTGTTAAACGTTTGCGGCAAATAAGCCTTTACGTCATTTGAAATCAGCCAAATTTGTCTACTTGTGTACTTTCAATATGTGAGCATAAAATTTTAGAAAGACTAAGTTTAAATTTTAAGTTATTTGATTTTCAAGTCTCTCTTTAACAAGATGATTGTGTCAAATATGAAAATTAATTAAATCGAACCGAGAGATCGTCCACAATTTTCAAAAACCCATCTGTATCTATATATATCTATGGGCTGATGTCTGCAAATAAAGATCATTTTATTGCTGACCAATTACATTAGAGTGCTGCCAAATCATGCAAAAATTTAATATGAAATATATACGATATGTACGATACAACATATGGTCCATCATTCGAGGGAATAGATCTTCGGCCTGAGTTGTAAGCAAGTATCATACAGAAGCGAGTGGCGATTATTAAAATTTATTTATTTGAAAATCATGACTGGCTAATCGAATGTGTTCTTGGTTTAAGTCTTCCTTGATATACATACATATATTTGGGGAACATTTTGGGCTGCATTTTTTTGATTTCATTTTAACAACGAATACTTTAGAGATTAAAGAAGACACACACGAATGATCAATAGTTAAAAGTTCTTAGCTGAAGCAATCGATGATCCAAATTGAGGTGAGTTTAAGATGGGGAAAAATTTTCTTCATTTGTTTTTATGAGTTCCAGCCATAAGATCATCTAATCAATAATTGGTTGCGGTTGGAAGCTCTACGCCTTTAATGGGTGGTATCTGAAGAGCGAAGATCAAAGAAATCTTATCATATCTCTGTACTCTTCGGCTGCAAGAGTAATTGAACTTTTACAGTTTCGGAAATAAAAAAGGTTAGCTTCTTTTTAATCAAATTATATATACATACATATATATACATATATATACATATATATACATATATATACATATATATA